ACCCGCTGTTAAAGGGTTAAAACCCCGGCTGTGAGTTGACGTCACCCCTGCATGAGCCTGCAGCAGGCTAGGTATACACAGGTATACATTGAACTTGAAGTGGTAGCTGGTCGGTGGCGAATGGAGGAAGCTGTGAGCACATGCAGAGTGTTGCGGGGCGCCGTCTCGTTTTGAGTGAAGCTGTGCGGCTTTTGCGGAACGCCTGAAAGGTTGATACTTTCATGGCCGCAACGCTGTCAGTGTCCGTAATGAAAGTATGTAGGAGGTGCGGTAAAGGCAGCCAGTGTGTTGATGGGGCGGCAGCTTGCATAACGACAGGCAGAGGATTGTATAGTGTGTCCTGACATTGTGATTCCGAACCCTTGTGGTTGTCGTGCCATACTTACTGAAATGCAGACGAGAACTTAGTAAAGACATTGAGTCATTTGCAGTGAAAGTTGCCGGTAGGTTTGTGCTGGTTGCACTAAGGGTGCATTAGCAAAGAAAGTTGTGAAATGGTGGAAAGTCCTTGAGACGCCCTTTCCTGCTTAGATGCAGTTGACGCCCTGAACGCTTCAACGGTAGCTGCTTGGGGGCCCCGGGCCGCTGGCAGCCCTGCTGTCGGCCATGGCTGCAAGTCAGATGCTCAGTGGCCATGCGTATGCAAGTCGAGGGGGATCTAAGTTTACCTTTGAGGCTGGGTTTCAGAGAGAAGGACCTACTTATTCTGGCAAATCCAGTATTCATTTTCCGGCAGCCCGATGTCAGTTGCTTTCGGCTCAGAGAGCCGCCCGCTGCGGCCAAGGATTGAAGGCAGGCTTGATCTTCCAACAAGCGGGTGCCGGTGTTGTTGACAGAGCAAGCAAAAGGGGGCCTGTGAGGATGGTCTTGGGATCAGGAGGCCGGCAGCAAAAGCGCTCCCAGCAGAGCCCAGCGAAGGCGCCTTCTTGGCACCCCCTTGAGGACCTTCCTCTTGCAAGCCAAGATGAGCCCGCTGCACAGAAGGGCAAGCCAACGCCTGCGGAAGGGGCGCGCACGTTTGTGGCAGATAACAAAGAGGGACTGCTCTTCACCAGGATGTTTCCAGAGGGCCACTCGGAGGGGCTCGATCTCTCTTATCTCACCGACGACCAGGGAGGTGAGACGCTGGACTTCTTCAATGCTTTAGCGGATCTGCATGGAATTGATTGCATATGAGTGCCAAAGGGTTAGGGCTGCACCTCCAAAATTCATGGGCAGCAACATTGCATTGATCTGAGAATGGCCGAGCGTGCTCGTTTGAGGGTTTTCTCAAAAAAACGCAGGGACCTTGTGACAGCATTGGTTGTCAACATTCACTCTATGCATTTTACAGCCATTTTATAGGAGCGCAAAGGAGGGAGCCTTATTCACCTTTCTGTACCTGTACTACTTCCATTACGGAAAGCCCTACGATTTTTCGTCATTTTGGCTGGACCAGCAGCATTCTTCATGGCTCGGAATTCGTAATTAGAATTGAAGGTTGCTGCTTTTGGCTTTTTGAAGTTCTCAAAGTTGGAGCGCATGCACTCCGAGGCAGACTCGGAATAGCGGGAGAAGAAAGATGAGACCACGGACAGCTTCCGTAAACAGCGGCTGTCATGTGGCGCGCACTTGTTTGAACGAATTATGCTTCCTGGGCTTGGCTATGAGTAGGACACAATGGCCATTGAGTGTCTCAGCAAAGCTGGATCCTGTGTGCAGACCTTTACTTCACCGTTGATGGAATTGACTGGGACGAAGGCGATCCAGAGTACCTGCAACAGGAGGACATCACTGTGAGTGACCCTCCTTGGCTGGCAACTCTGGGCGGCTGTCTGATGAAAAACCTACCTCTATCCTTCAAGTTCAGACTCAGAGCATTTGGCCAGTATAACTGAGCAGGATGGTGCTGTGCACTGCTTGTGAGTGGTTCTTTATGGGTTTCTTCTGAGACTATACCCCTAGGATCAAGGGCAGAACAGAGCTCTAAGTCAGCCGCCTGTGTAGATAATTTGTGCAACAATCAAATAGATGTTCCACTATTCTGCCGTCTTATGACCTCTCCAGGTGCATCTGGTGACTCATGCCTACTCCTCTGGCAGGTGGTTGTTGGGTGCAGTGACTATGACGAGGGCGGCATGCTGGATGAGGTGGACGAAGAGATGGGCGACTACCCATTCTCTGACTCTGACTACGACGACGATGACGATGACGAGGATAGCGACAGCGACGACGAGGACTGGGAGATGGTGGACGAGGTGAGGCGCTGCTCGGCACATGCGAATAAGCCCGCGGAATTAAGCTTTGGTTGCACGCCCTCCGTATTATGTTGGGGCGCCAGCAGTCTTTTATATAGCCTGCCGGGGTGACGTTGTCTTGCCAGTGAGATCCGGATCCACTTGCATGGTTGTACCGCCGTGTGTGCGACGGCATCTGACGGTGAAAAGCTAGAACAGTGACTCTCCTTGTGCAGTACCTAAGCATGCTGAGGAGCCGGGGCGTGCCTGTGGAGGACATGTCAGCGGAGAGCTTTGGCACCCTTGGCGCGTACGGGGGCCTGGACACGCTGGAGACTGTTCATCCCCTAGACTTCGCCATCCGCTTGTCAGACGTGAGTGCCTGTGCCTTCCCGCTTAGTGGTGAAAGCTTGCTCTTGCAGGATTTTAAGTATCTTTTGTTCACCTGAAGTAGCTGGCCCATTGTTGCAAGTTTTTAAGCGTGTTTTAAATGGGAACTCGTCCATCAGTTCAGGGCCTCCTTCACTACGAGTTTCTCTTCACTTTCTCAAGCAGAAAGGTGAGGTTTGGCTCGCAAAGTGTGCCGAAGTTGAGAAATCTGGTGGCCCCTGCTCTTACAATGAGGACTGGCTCGCCTTAGAGATTGCACAACGAAGCTTTTCTGCAATGTGTCAAACGGATTGCTCGACTCAACAGTGGCGTCTTGCGGAGCTAGCAGGCGCTAGCCCCGGCTCAGGCCCCAGCCGGTTTTCTGACGACCCTCACTCCTGTCCGCCCCTTCTAACCTGGAGACGACGCTTGTCAGTGCGCAAGCTCTTTGTGGGCTGACGTCAGCAAAATCCTTGCACAACGTCCTTTATTGCAATACCGCCCTTTGCGTTCATTGGCACCGTTTGACTGTGCGTACTGCGCAACGGTGCTATCATTTGAGCAGCCCAGAAGGCCCTTTGGCGCTGGTATTGTGAAGCATAACCGCCATCTTGTCTCGAAACTTCGTCAGAACGCCCTTTTGTCAAGTCTCCAATAAGTCTTTGCCAGCTGGCAGCAGCAATCATATCCGAAGCGCGTCTTGCCTACAGACGGTGGAGGCCCAGGGCCAGCTGGAGGTGGCGGTGCCACAGGCGCAGGTGACGCTGCGGGGCGTTGTGGAGCTGGTGTCCCCGGACGAGCTGGACCCTCACTTGCTCGAGCGAGTCAAGCGCGGCTTGCTGGCGCGCACCGAGGAGGCCCACCCGGAGGACGCCGCCATGTTGCAGGAGGAGGGGGAAGAGCAGGAGAGTGCGCTGGGAGAGGCTGCGGCGTCCGACGAGGCGGCGCAGGAGCGGGCGGACGCGGCGCTAGAGCAGCTGAGGCAGGACCTGCAGAACCCAGAAACACGTGAGCGCCCGAACCCACGTTCCTGAATTTGTCGATCAGAGAAGGATTCTTGAATCTGTAAACCGAGGAGGAGTCTTGTATTGGAGAAGAGGCCCGTGCTGGTTTCGGAGGCCGGACGCCTTGCTCGCTGTCTGGGTGACTCTCTTCTTTTTAAATAGCGGGGCCATGTCTGTGAGGTGCAAACATTATTGACAGCAGCGGTTCAGAGATGCGCCACTGTTGAGAAGCGTGCTGACGGCTGCTGTCGTTTTGCAGGGGCAGGGGGCTCTGCCCGAGCGGCCGCTCTCTTTGAGACTTCATCTTTAGAAGCGGAGGATCTTGACCTAGTTGAGAGCCACGCTCAACCTCCTGATGTTGAGCCAGTCTCGAAGCCTAGTACCTCCACCAGGGGGGCCGATGACGGTGTAGAGAGCGGCAGCAGTAGTACCGTGGATCGTGAGGAACCCGCGGGGAGGCCCAACTCCCATGTCAAGGCCCTGCTGCGAGGGCGGCTGAAGGCTTTGAATGGCTTCCCCAAGCCAAAAAGTAGCCGGGGGGAGGAGCAGGCCCCAGAGGTTGCAGAGAGCCGGGGGGATGCAGGGGGGGCGTCAAGGAGGGAAGATGGCATTGGGGACGAGACTGCTCTAAATGGTGGAGACGAGTGCATCCAAGCTGAGGGCGGGTCAGTTCCCAAGGACGGGGCCCGGGAAGCGAGTTGCACAAGCGTAGGTGCGAGCGAGCCACATGCGCAGGCGGAGTTGAGAGGGCACGAGTCAACTGAAGACCGAGGGCCGGGGAACGGGGCCGACACTTTCGCAGTTGAGGAATCGGGGCATGCGGCTGAGCCGGAGACGTCTGCAGCGGCAGCCATACAATTGTCCGAGGAAGCCGACGAGCAGAGCCGAGCCGGTCGTGCGCCAGAAGCTCTGCCTTGCTCGACGTCGGATGTTGCTGTGGAAGACCTGCGGCAAGACCGGGGAGCCGAAGCTTCGACCAGCGGGTCGGAGCCGCACGCGTCTCAGGTCCCCAAGCCGGCTGATCTCGGCGGCATCGGCCGGTGGCTGACGTCCCTTACCTCCAAGTCGCCGATAATCTGGGACCAGAATACGGGCCGGCTCTGGCTGGGCGGCGGGGGCCAGCTGGGCCCGGGAGATGGGTTGGGGAATGGCACGCACAGTTTGGGATCGGTCCTGTGGGGCAACGACGAGGACGCTGACGTGGACAGCCTATGGCGAGATAGTGATGACGTAGAGGACAACAGCGTCGTCGATGACAGCTGGCCGGAGGGGCCCCCCCTGTACCGCCTGAGGGTGACCAGCGTCGCCTTCAAGTCGCCTGCGGGCGTAGAGGTGAGACAGCTGCAGGCTCACACAGCGGGGGGCGCGGAATCGGTTCGTTTCCTTAAGAAAGCTGGATTGGTTCAAAACTGAGCCGACTTTCATTTTGTGCTCTCGAACCTGGTATAGGCACCTGGGTAGCTAAGCTGCTTGATGGTACGACTCGCGAGGCCGAGCCTACGTTGGGCGGGCTTTTGTAGGACACTGCTCCCATGCCTGTTACGTTGGTATGACGTGATAGTGACACGGGCTTGTCGGGATGGTTCGTACCCGTTTGCCAGCAAGAGGATGCATGCGAGCCTACACACAGTGCAATTCCCTTTAGGGGGTCTCGATCTTTTTGGCCGTCTAGATCTACCTTACTCTGCCCGATTTGCGACGCTGAATCCTGGAACCATCTGGCTCACGATTGAACCCAAGAAAAGTAATAATAAACCGAGATAATAGTAAGGTAACTCACTGGGACGGGTAGGGTTAGTTCGGTGGTTAGGGTGGGTATGGGTGCGGAGCAGGTGTCTTTTTGGGTTAGGGTTTTTAGTTTTAGTCGGGGCTTTTTATTATCTTGGCTTTAAGTATTATCTTTACTTGAGGACTATTGGCTCACGACTGCTGTCCGCGCTGCAGTGGCAGGTGGACGCGTCTGAGTACGCTGCGGCGCAGCCGGACGTCCTGCGCGGCGCGTCCGCAAACATGATGGAGCAGGTGAACCATGCGGGACACAAGGTGGCGCGCGCGCTTGTGCGCCTCTGCAAGAGGACACTCGGCGTGGACGTCGACGTAAGTGGCTCCTCTTTGTACCCAAGTCTTGCTTCGCCTCTTTTCCGGGATTCGTCCCTCTTGTCAAAAGATGTTGCTTCGTGGTAACCGAGCAAGAGCTTTGAGTGCAGGGTGCTACATACAACCAGCCTCCGTCACGTGAAAAAACTGTTGAACTCCTGGTGGAAAGCAGGCGTGTCGAGTGGCGCTGATTGCAGACTTGCCTGCAATAGAACGCACAATGACAGGTCTTTGCACTCGCAGGATGCGGAGATGGTGGCCGTTGACCGCTACGGCTTTGACCTCCGAGTGAGCCAGGGCATCGAAATGAAGACGCTGCGGGTGTCCTTCCCTGAGATCGCCCTGGATGAGGACCACGCCATGTTGCTGTTGGAGGACATGATGTGGCTTAATAGGAAGCCAGGCAAGAAAATTTTCCACTTTCGGCGATCAGGACGCAACGAGTCAGGTGGTGCCAGGGGATCGTAGGTCGCTAAGGCGCGCTCTTGATTAGGATGCAACTTCTCAGATTGAGACAACAAGCAAAGGGGTTTTGGTTCACTTGAGGGTTTCACGAAAAGGCATGGGAAGTCAGAAAGCCTGAAACGCCTGAAACACCAGACCTTGAGCTGTTCGTGTTGATTTGCTCCGTTTGTCAGGGATTCAAGGTACATATATCAGTCTTCCTTCTTGAGATTACGCACGCGGCCTGCACATACGTTCCAACCTCAGACTTCAATGCAAGCGAGCGAGTCCATTCGATGATTGGATCGCTTGCGGGCCCAGGTCTCGGATCAAATTTTTGGTTGATTTGTACAGATGTTATCATGCCACTTACAAGAGGAGACGTCATGCATGTTCTTTACACGTTGGTCAATCTGTCGCGTGCAATGCACTACGGTCGAAATCAACGTACAGGCAGGTGCACCACAACCATATTGCCACCGGCAGCTCAATATCATATTGTGTCATAGGTTTGTAGCTATAGAAAAGTTTCACAGGTTTGATACGTATGTGTTAAGCGAAATTACACGGGATTTTGTATTTGTCGTATCTGACGCACATTGTATGACTAAATAGTTCTGCATATGCAGGGATAGCTAGATAGAGTCAAATTGGACAGTCCGACCATGCATGCAGGATCGAACAACATGCGCAGCATGATTCTGGGCCAGTGTGCAAATTCCGTGCAGCTCATATATATATATTTCTGCATGGTAGATGTAAAATTCTAAGCATATAGTACATGCACATGCAGCATACCGTACGTCACTGGCCGAACCTTCTCGATTGTGAACCAGTCATCGAGCGCATCGCAGATTGGTATGCGGATACTTGTCAGGTCAGGTCAGCAAATTGTAAGCATACCGTACCTCCGCCGGAGACTGTTTCGACGCCATAAGCCAGGTGCCCACGAGTGTGATAAAGAGAGCAACGACTTACTAAGTATATCTGCCAAGATTCTTCTGCACACCATTGCCAAGTTGTCGATGCACGTCAACAAGGCACACGCATATTGAGGTCCAAGGACCGTGAGCCCAACACTGCAAAGTTCGTTAAAGATCTTCCGACCAATTGCGTAGTGTAGTGCCGGCCCTTGACTGCACATCATCTGAATCGAGCTCACATTATCGTAGCCATTGGCGTCGGGAGTGGCAATATGCACGTAACCTCATTCATTTTCAAGCATAGGTACCTTGATATGAAAAGGACTGGCGAGACACAGGGGACACAAAAATCTTTAGTTTTCAAATTTAGTCGAACAATGAGAAGCCCATGTCCTCGTCCTCCTCTTCCTCCTCCTCCTTCTTCTCTTCCTTCTTCTCCTCCTCAGCAGCGCCGCCTCCCCCGCCGCCGCCTCCACCGCTCGAGGCGCCTCCGCCGCCGCCACCGCCCCCACTGCTGGCTGCGGCACCGCCGATGATGACCTGGATCGGAAAAACTTCACGACTTAAGCATTCTCAAGCCCCCGTCTTGACTGCAAGTATATCCATATCTGGATTGATGCAAAACATTGCCTGTCATGCATTTCAGTTGGAGGCTTTGTACAGAAGATCGACGTACTTCAGTGTACCCAACAGGAGTAATGGGCTCTCAAAGCAAGAATGGCCTGGTGACAACTACTGTACCTTCCAGCACGTTAAGTAGAGCGACGTGTCTATGGAATGTGTCTAAGCTACAACCAGAATATGTTCTCTTAAGATCTTGTCTTGAAATCTGTCTTGAAATCTTTATAACCTGCTGTAATCAGTATCATCAGCCGCTGTGTCCTTCGGATTCTTCAGAAGCACCTTATCTTCGCATTGTAAGCACCTCATCTTTGCATTGTAAGCACCTCATCTTCACGTTGTGAGATAAGGCATCACGCTCCCGGTCATTCCTGTCAAAACGAAGCCTACTAGGAACCAAGCTTGCAAGGATGCCCCAACCGACGTAAACGCTTGGTTGCTGCTTGCGAATCCTACTTTGACTTCCTGCATGCCTCAAAATCTACTTGCTTTCCTCGTTTATCAGCTGGCCTTCAGGGGCAGCTACTACCAAAGTACAAATGAATTCTTATGGTGGAAAGAATTGCTAAGCCAGTCCACATTATCAAACTGATCGGGGAGACACTGGCAGGCAGCTTGCGACCGCCACTAACCACTTGCCAGTGCATTTCAAGTTGCGCTGCCCGTCAGTCTTTTCTCCAGGGAAACAAGGACAGATGGCAATTCCATGCAGACAGAACAGATACGTGCAGTTTTTTTGAATTCACCGAAGCGCCAATCTATATCTTACATTCATATACTAGATACTTTAAAGCGAATACAATTCCAATTTGAGCCCCTATCTCAAAATTCATGCCGGGCGGCAGCTCTCAATGTCTCAAAGGCTGAATTCTTCCGCTGCTCCGCTCTTGTTGCCCAACAATCAGCTCTTGTGAGCTGCGATGAAAGTCATTACCACGTACTGCAGTCTACCATTACCAACCAAGCCGGCAGCTGCATGAGTGGTCTAGACACGTTTCCTTTCAAACAGTGACCTCGTCTGTTGCCCCTGGAATGCCAATGAAGCTTTACAAAGCTGACCATATCGCAGATATCATCAAGATCCAGGGAATAGCAGTGGCCGCCGTATTCAACAATGAATGCTGCAAGTGGTTGCTACGAGGCTCCATAAGAAATGCAGTCTTACCTGGCAGAGGGCCTTCGTCTGCGTGACGAACGAGAAAGAAAGCTGCACCCCCCCGGTGGCGCCCTGCGCCTTCGCAAGGTCGCTCAACTTCTTCTGCAGCTCATATGTGCTGGAGGCCTCCGCCTCGAGTGGCTCCGCATCCTCGTCCTTGGAGAACCGCTTGGCGGTCCAGTTATCGCCCTTGTGGTCGCAGATGAACACGTAGGACGACATGGTGCAACAGAGGCGCCTCTGAGGATGGCCTTGCTAGGGTTCAGAAGCAAAAGGGAAGAGGAAGGAGCCCCGTCTCGGTTTACGTGCCGAACCTGCAAGAGAAGGCATCCTTGCGGAACCTTGCGGTAACGCTCTGAGAGTTTGGAGTGCAAGGTCCCACGGAAAGGAGGGGGGCGTTACACGGGCGTTCCAGCCCATTGCAGTCATGATGCCTTGTGAAGCACTCATGCAAAGTCAGAGTCAGATCGTGCAGGCTACCTAGGAACCTACTACTCCTGCTCCTACTCTTGTTACTCGGCTGCCATGCTTCAGGCAGGCGCTTCAAGTTCAAGGTCCAATGGTGCGTTGTTGAGCAGCCGCAATTGACGTTCCCTTTCCCGCGCAGGACTTTTCTATTTGGAGGGGCAGCCCGGAGTGGGCCATGGCTTGGTCTCCAAAAGATCTTTCTGAACAAATGTTCTTCATAAGCTGAAGACGCAAAAAGCGCTGTCAGCATTATGGACAAGGAAATTACTCGGCGGTGGGGGGTGGGCATCCCCTCACCAGAAGAGCTTGCCCCCCTGAGCACTCGCCTCATCACGCCGGTGCTGGCCTGCGCCTTCAATATAGAGGGAGACAGCGGGGCATCACTTACAGAGGAGGAAGTTGATGAAGCTGCGCTGAACACAGTCAGGGGGGGGATGGAGCGAGCGACACCATCGCAGGTTTCTCCGCAAGAGAATCCACAGGTGGGGCCGCCGCTGGTGGGTTTTGCAGATGGGAGGTGGGATGGGGGGGGAGCGGATGGGGCAGAAGGTTACCCGGGGGAGGAGCCGACGAATGGCGTTGCTATTCTGCAAGGTGGGGCCAGAAATTATTTTATGTCCTCCATTGAGTTGCTTCATTGGTTTGTTTCTCTGCATTCGAGGATTGGCAAGGACTTGGGTAGGCTTCATTGTGGGAGCTTCATGAAGTGCTCTTCAAAATGAATGAGAAGGAAGTTCTAGTCTAGCGGTTACTTTTGCTGATGCTTTGCTTTTGCCGTCATCGCGAAGTGCTTGATGTCAAACCAGTGCATGCCAAAGTACCTGCTGCAGAAAGATCTGCCTTTGGGGTGTGGAAAGTGACAGACCGTGTTGAGAATGAAACTAGAAGCAGGAAGTCAAATGGGACAATTCTCCTGCGGGTTCCCCAAATTTCCAAAACCTTGGGAGAATCTTTGGTGCCTGTTGTGAAGGAGAAGCTACCTAGATTTGGCTACCTGCTCAGTTCACAGAATCCACTGTGGAGGCGGCCAGAAGTTTGTCTACAAAATTGTAGAGAAAGCTGGTTTATCAAGTTTTGATTTGGAATCCGGCAGGGTGGCAGAGTGTAGCAGGGTACGTCGTGCAGGGCATAGGCATCTATGAAACCTCATCTAAGAGCACCTATCAACTCCTAGCAATCTGGACACCGCCAATACATGAAGAGTCCCGCGAAAGCTTACAAAGCAACCCGCGATTTGTACAGGCGTGCACGGCAACATGCCCGCTTATGGCGCCTTCAGCGGTGGTGTGGAGAACAGCCAGGATGGGGGCGGGAAAAAGGCGCGGGCGCGCCCTGCAGAAAGCATGGAAGGGGAGGACGAGTTAGAAGGCATGGAGCACACAAGCGACGACCCTCCTGGGCGGGCGCTCAAACGGCCGCGCCTAGTTTGGACCCCCCAGTTGCACAAGCGCTTCTGCGATGCTGTGAATCACCTGGGGGTGGAGAATGCTGGTGAGCAGGGGCGGGGGGCAGCAATTGTCCTGGAGTTGGGGGGTTTTGGGTCGCTGGTTTCTGCGGCAGCCTGGGGAGAGGCTTTGGCTGGGTTGTGTTGCGCCCTTTAAAAGGGGCTGATTGAAGCGGAAACTAGGACGGACCCCCTCTGGACCCTGTTTGTTTGGAAGGCGGCCCATATTGTAAAACGTGCGCCGTGCGCCTTGCTAAGTACGTGGGGGTTTCTGCAAGCTGTTGATGGTCCAGTGGCAAACAAGTTCACGAATGTGGGTGCGCTAGTGAGATCCATGGGCATCACATGAAAGGATTCTTTGGGACAGATTGAGTGGAACCAGGTCATGTTGGGGGCTGGGCAGACAGCCAGTACTTTGCTGAATTTTCCAAGCAAGGTTTTAGTTGAAAACCCTCGCCCCTGTAAGAAACCCATCAGCCATCGTCTTGATCAAGAACATGGAGCCCATTGGGTTGGATCAGTGAGCTGAGAATCCAGGCTTGACCTGTAGATTAATTTGTCAGACAGAAGTGTCCGACCTGCCGATTTCACCCAGCTAACGTGCCAGCATTCCGATATCATCAAGCGGTCCTTTGCAGTTCCAAAGACCATCATGCAGCTGATGAACGTGGAAGGCCTGACCCGCGAGAACGTCGCCAGCCACCTCCAAAAGTACCGCCTCTACCTGCGACAACGCTTCCAGACCGACGCTCCTGCTGTGCCATCCTCTTCCGACGCCGTGTTCGCAAATGGGCCCCAGCCGCCTCGAGGGGGAGGTAGCGCAGGGCCGGCCCTGTCGGGAGGGGGAGAGGGGGACCTGGGGCGAGAGCGTGGTCTGCGGATGGACACACAGAGTAACGGTGAGCTACAGCATTACATTTGAGGTTGGACGTGAGGAGAGGCCCCGAAGTGACGCTTGTGTGGCTGGCAGTGAAGATACGGAATTCTGGTTTGAGCTGGGTTCAAAGCTGGACCGGGCTAGAGTTGAAGTGTGGCGGTACGTTCAGAGAGAAACATCTCCTTCAGAGGTGAAGTCTGAGTTGGGCGGCTCGATTGCAAATATGGATACAGGCCCTTTCCAAGAGTTTGTCCGATACCAGAGTTCGACGACCTTCACCAAACAAGGAGATAGGATTGAGGGCGTAGCCCACAGTCAATCAGTTGAATCCCTGCTTTTCAGGAGTGTTATCAAGATGCGGAAAGGTGTATCCGAGTTTAGAAATCGAGAGAACGCAAGTCTATGCACCGAGGATCCCTTTTGACCCTGACCCTTGATCCCAGGTCATAGCATCGGTCTCACAGACGGCGCGCCCCCGCAACAAGACGTAGGCTATCGGGACTACGGGGGGTACCCTGCCAGCATGCAGCTGTCGGGGCGACCCGCTCCAGAGCCGCTGGAGATGGATGCTTTTGGGCGACCCCTCAAGCGGCAAAAGTTTGTCGATCAACGAGCACTGGCTGCACACGGGCAGTTGCAGTGAGATGCTTCTGGGATTGTGTACTATACTTCTGCCGGCTATATAAGTGAGGAGATTCGTGGGAATGTGTACATTTGACTATTGCTTAGGCGGGCGAATGCCAGCGCGCCACCTTGAGGTCCTAGCTATTATTACCACAGGCAATTGCATCAGATTTCAGGGACGTGGCTCATGTGCCGTGAGCGGGCAGCTCAGCGCCTGAGCCTTTTGGAGCTGCAACCTTATTCCGAGTTGCAGTTGGCTGGATCGGTTTGGGTGCTTAAGCGAACCTTAAATAAGTGAACCCAGTCACTCGGCTTGCCGTGAGCGGGCATGGTGAGTTGTAACGTTACTTAGAAAAGGAGATGACTCTGACTATCCAATCGATTATCTACATAACGTGCATCAAAGGGCTCACACCGGCCCATGCATGGGCCGGCATGCTGTGTTGCTTGGGTTTCCCGGCCGTCGGAGGCGGCACCCGGCATCTACAGCCCATCGTACAGAACACGTAGGACGCGCTGCCACATATGATCACATGCACATCTGCATATGGCCAATAGCTTCAAATTGCTGACGAGAAGCATGTGCACGTGCAAACACTAGGGACGTTGATTCATGAGGGCCGCTACAATGTCGGATATATATACCGCACGCTTAGCTAGTAGTCCAAGCAATGACGGGGTCTGCAATTGGCATGTCACATGGGTCGCATGAAAGCTAGATCCACTGAGCCACGCTGAGGATGCAGCCAGCAGCTAGGCGGCGAAGTGCAGTCAGTCTTGCCATTGGATTGGGACCTTGCAATATATTGTCGGGCAACGGACCGGTCTAGCTTGAAGTTGGTTCCTTCCAGTCACTACTGCCAAACCGGAATTCTCAACGACTGCTCGAATGTCCTACAAACTAAGAACCGCGCGACCATCTACGATCTGCCTGCTCGTGCTGCATGCACAGGGCTTGTTCTTCATACACAGCAATAGCGAATCCTACCAGAACTTGAGTCTACTCCTTCGCACGAAGACTTTTGAATCCTCCCTTCCATTCCTCTGGATCAAATGCTCTTGGCCCCAAACAAGTCTCTTCCACTCACGTTTCAGCAAGAAGTAACCAGCTCGAGGATACGCCCATTCGATACGGTTATGTAGACATCCTACTTGTGCCATGGTCAACTCCATACGTTCAGGATACACTGGTAAACGTTGCGCGCTCCCCTCGACTCGCAAAGGCTATCTAAACATGCGAATGAACTTGGTCGGGTCACCAGTGGCGATCTTCCGGCGGCACTGGGGGCAGTGGTTCGAGTTGATACGAGGGTCCTCAAAACAGGACAAGCACGGGCCCATATGGCCTGCAAGGACGAGGGCAGGAGAGAAATGCTATTGGTAAGACGCACAGACCGGGATGTATGCAGGGAGTCGAGCAAGCGAGCAAGACTTTGTCAAGTGTTGCCATTGTTTGGCACTCTTTTTGACAATAAAGCGAAGCACAGCGTTGAAACGCAGCGTCCGAGTTCGCAACAGTGTTCTGGTCCATGTAAGCAGAGCTTTTGCTTCCTTGTCAACTAATGCGAAAGTTGCGCACGATAGCCGTTCAAGCGAATGACCCCAGTCTTGCCAGGTCTGGTTGCCAGGTCTGGTTGCCAGGTCTGCTCGGGATTTCAAAGAACAAAACCGTACAACCATGCAAGAGCAGCAGTACGCCTGTGCATCGCAAGGAAAGCTGCCCGTCTCTATCAAAATGTTTGTCAAGACTGCTCAACCTTCTTGTTTGTCAAAGGAAGCAAGTTGAAAAGGCTTAGCTTGCTAAATGGAACTCTCAAAGTCATCGAGTCTGCTAAACGGAAACGACTCTTCCTGATTCACCGAACGAACCAAGCATGTTCAAAGATGGTCCTTGCTGTCCTGTGCACTTGAGGCACTCACCGCACTCCTTGATGAAGAAGTCCGCCTTGCGCACCCAGCACAGCTTGCACGCGGTCCGCTCGTCGACCAGGGGGGGTGGGGACTCTCGGGCCGGGGGGGTCGAGACGCGGCCATTGGAGGAGGGGGGCGCCTGTCCCAGGGGGTTGTATTTCACAGGGGGTCGGTAGGGGCGAACGCCGGCGGGGGGTGGGAGCAGAGACGGGAGGGGCTGGCGCAGGGGCAGAGGGGGCAGCCTGGCAACAGAGAAGAGGAAAGGTAAGAAGAGAGAGCAAGAGAGCTTCGAAGTTGGAGATGCAACTGGGAAATGGAGAACGTCGCCCAGCCTTTTCGTTGCTCGAAGCTTGGGCCACGCAAAGTAGGTACTTGGAAGTGTGCCCGCTTTACGAGCAAACCCGAAGTGCTACTCTGGAGAAGGACTTTAATCTACGGACGAACAAGGAAGACAAAGCATGCGCGCCACTTTTGCTCAACTTCCGACGTCGGGCTGGTCCCGAACAGGCCGCAAAAACGCGACACGGACCGGATTGCTGTACGCTCTAACAGTAACACTCACCACCTGGATAGAAGGAAGGGGATGCCAATCTTGAACCGGCCCAATTCCACCAACTGTGCAATTCTTCAGTCAAGGAGAGTTGCTATTCTCCCAATCTCTCAGCTGCCCTCACCTTGGGCAGGAGCATGTCCAGGATCGACTGCATGTTGGGCGCCGCCGCCTCCGCTGTGCTCGCCCCCCCTCCTTCCGTAGGCAGCGAGGTGCTGCGCTCTTCCGCCCCCGGTGTCCCGCTCGCCGGCCGCGCTCCTTCCCGTTTCTGGGGGGTTGGAACCCGCTCTTCCGTTTGAACGCCAGGAGGGGGAGTCCGGGGGTTGCCGGGGGCGCTTTTCGGGGGGATGGACGCAGCCGGCTGAATAGTAGGACTTTCACCACCCCACCCCGAAGCAGCGGAGGTGATCTCAGCCAGAATGCTGGTGATGTCATCGGGGGCCCCGCGCCCACTGGTTGCGGTTTCGTGGAGGGGGGATGGAGAAGGCTGGGGCGAGAGGGGGGTGGAGGGCGAACTTGGCTTAGCGGCGGGCTCCTTGGCGCTGCCGGAAGAGGAGGGCTGCGCCGGCGCCGCTTTCGGGGGGGTTGCCACACGGCCGTTCGCTTCTGCTTTCGGCGCTTCCGTTCCGCTGGCCTTTGCGCTTGCCGGCCGATCTTCCTTGGCTGCTTGCAAACCGCTCGCACTCGCCACGGGCGCTTTTTCCGGCACCCCCGAGCTGGCACCTGGAATCTCGGTCTTCGCTCCCGCCGACCCACTTCCCTCGCCGATTTCCTCAACCATTCCGTTCGCCGCTTTGTTTCCGGTTCCATTTTCCGCCGCGCCCCGGGCCGCTGCCGCGATGGTCGCCGGGACCGCAGCAGACGCCGACAGCGCTTCCTCCTTGGGTGCTGCCGTAGGGGGACTCTGCGCGGCAACCACCGCATTCGCGGGCGTCGGCCGGGGGATCCCTGAGGGCAGCGGCGGGGTAGGGGGCCCCGCCGCGGCCTGCGCAATCTCCAGCTGCCCCTCTAGTTCTTCGGCGAAGCCCCGCTTTTTCCGCTCCTCGTATTCGGCCTTGTCCTCAAATAGGAGCAGCAGCATCTCGGTTTGTAGCGCTGGCAGGACCAGGGGAAGCAGCCACGTGTCAGCGTTCCACCAGCCCGGGGGAAGGAGCGGCTCGATCTCGGTGCGGCCGAGGGGGACGGGGAAGCGGCGCACGCAACGGAACGCGATGTGGGGCTGCTCCACGCCGTACATGATGCCCGTGTCTGCGCAGGCAAAGGGAGAGCAGTCAGGAAAGAACTCGAGTTTTAGGGTCATGCTAACGTCCCAGTGTCCTCCGCTTCATGTTGCAAGTGTGCAAGTTCTTGTAGCAGGAAGATCTGGCGAAAGTAAGGCAGCAACGAAAGACAACGAGGGCCATCGCTTTTGAACCCTTTTTGTCGTTATGCCCGCAATCATCTGTCCGAGAAAGCACGATCACCTGTCAAAAGAACACAATCTCGATATGAATGTTAGGACTTCGCCAAGCTGTCCTGCTTCAGTGCAGAAACCGTCAGCAACACTTCCAGATTGAACGAGGAAGTGGACGGACGTTTCATGTCGAACTTCGGTCAGGACATCTTTCAAGGTGACAGACGTGTTTGCACAATTTGGTGAACTGAAGGAAAAAGAGCAGGTGAAGGTAGTCAGAATTCCTGAATTCTAGTCGGTAAATTGCTTCCGGAACGGACAACAAAGCGGAGAGGGGCAATAGACACTGACTCCCAAAGCAGTTCGAATTGAACTAGCAGAACACAAGATCCGGAAGTTGAGAAAGGAGACGCTGCCACAAATCCCGAAATTGCGTATCAAGAACCAGATGACGTCCACTTGCTGAGAAATGTAAGCTGAAGCAAGACGAGAGTATTGCAGACAAATCGAGTCAGCGTAAGAGCCGGGGAAAAGCTGAAGCGCCAAGATGGGTCGAAGTCAACATACAAGGAAAAGCAAGGAACAATAAGGACCAACAAACAAAGAGAGGAACGAAAGCTGACGTGGATATGACGCAAGCAAGGACGAACAAGAAGTCGCAAATGCAAAGAAGGGAAAATAGCTGACATGGATACGAGGCAAGCAAGGACGAACAGGAAGAAACAAATGCAAAGAAGGAATACAACTGACATGGGTCTCGGCACTGCAGGTACGACCCGGAGGTGGCCTCGTAGAAACCGTGCAGTTCCAGCTCCTCGATGTTGAACAGGAAGAGCGCGCACGCGTGCGGTATGATTTGGCAGCCCTGCACCAGGTGGTCCCTGTCCAGCCGGATGCTGTCCTGGTACAGCGCCAGCGTCTCCGTGGTTGTCGCGATGATCTGGAGGCAAGGAGCGCGCACAGAGTTTGAGACAATCCCATTCGAAGGTTCTTATTATTGAACTTTGAGCGTTTCTGCTGTCGTCGCGATGATCTGGCGGCAAAGAACGCACACAAATATGAATTCGAATGTCGTTGCAAGATTGTGTAAGGGAGTTTCAAGAGAACGATTTCCTGGACTCCGCTTTAGACGGGGTCTGGATTCGCTCCGGGATTTGGTTCGGTGGGTGCGACACAGTCTTCATAAGTGTCCTGAGCCAATACTACGATACAACCAACCACGTGCAGACGTGCGGAAATTTCAACTTCCGGACCAGAGGCCAACTCCGTGAAGCCACATGAAACGAAAAAGTCCTGAATTTTGATCTTGAGTAGGCCCTGCTGAATTCACAGCGGAAGCCTGCGGAAGCACACTCCCTGCTTGCACCTGCTTGCATGCCAACATGGAAAACGAAGACTCGGGATGACCTCAGATGCATTGAACTAGTCAGGACATTCAAGCGTCTTGATTTAAGATTGCCCGCAAAGCTTCTCATCCAACCTTTCACAATACCGCACATTGCCGAAATCGCCACAGCACTTACAGCCCGGAGCCGCCTCACCTGTCCCATTGCAAAGTTGCACGGCCGATTCAGCATCGGCAGCCGCCCCGCCTGCACCGCTAGCAGGGACGGAGGCAGCGGCACCACTGGGGACGTGCTCCGCGGCCGGGTATCACCCCCCGACCCCAGCAGGTCTCTCGCTGACTCCAACCGACCACTTCCCGGTCCCAACAAACTTCTCCCCGGTTCGATTCTCGCGCCGCCCGATCCCAGCACGCCCCTGGCAGAGTCCAATCTGGCCGCCCCTGATGACGTCAGCGCTTCTCGCCCGGACGTTCCTGCCGCCGGTGTGTCTCTCGCCGACTCCATCTTGGAGAACGAGCCCCCCCCGGTGAGCGCTTCCGTTGCCATTCCGTTCCGCTTTGGTGAGGCCGCGGTCGGCGCGGAAGTGGGCCGCTCCTCCGTGCCGGCATCCTTGCCCGCCGGCGGCGTCGTTTTCGGCGCTGACGTCGGCCGCCCTTCCTCCAGAGCAATCCCCTTTCCTTTCGCTTGGTCACTCGCTCTCAGCGGCGCTGAACCTGGTCGATCCGCTGTCTCCTTTTCCCCCACAGCCTCTTTTCCCTTCGCCTCGTTTATCCCCGCCACTGCTTCTCTCTCGTCCATTGGCGCGGACACCGGCCGCTTGCTCGCCTCCTCCACTTTCGCAGAACTCGCACTTTCACTGCTCGACCCGGCGCCGCTGCTCTCCCCTTTCGAACCGCTCGCTTCTGCCTTAGCCTCACTCTTTGGTTCCTGTTTCGTCTGCGCTAAAAGCACCGACTTCGGCACAAACTCCGGTGCGTCCGGTTTCATCTTTCCCCTCGCGGCGGCTGCTCGCAATCCAAATTCTCCCCCGGAGCTGCCGAAACTGCCGACCGGGGCTTCGCTCCCCCAGTCGCTCGCGCCGCCGGCGGCAAATGCGTCTTCTCCAGTTGCGCTCCACTCGAACTCTTCCCACTGCTCCGACCCGTCGAGAGACTGGTGCGAGGGCCCCGCCCCCCCCGGAATGAACGGCGCCGCGAGAGGGGAGGGTCGCTTGGTCCGGGGGGTGATGAGGTCGTGAGCGGCCCACTGGGGCTGGTAGTTGGCGAAGAAAGAGGGGGACGGGTGCTGCAGGCGCAGAATCAGCAATATGAGGGTAAATCATAAAACGGAGTCAAGATGATTTCCAGGAGCACTTTCAAGAACGTCATGCGAACAATCTGCTGACGGTCTGGTTGGGCGAAATGTGACCAAACCAACAGACTCTCAGATGTGACACGATTCTGTGATGCGACGAACCTCCAGGTCTTGATAAAGGGAAGCAGAAACCCTCCTCCTAAATGGGCATCCTCAGCAAGGTCAAAGCCTTCTGTGCACAAATCCCATCGGGCAGCAGTAACCTGAAAACCAGGACTCTG